AACTTCTTATAAAAACCATGATCTAGAATGTGTTTTAAAATGTAGGCTGCTATAAAAGCAATTAAAATCTTTGCTAATGACCTTACTAATTAATTAAGTACTGTTTCCCATTTTCGGTGCTGCAGGTTGAAGCTGACCTGTTATCAGTCTGCTGTATAGTAAGCTATGGCAAACTACAAAGCTTTTACAACAGCAAAGCAACATCATGCTTTCAGATAAGTTTTATAGCAAAAAACTCCTCCTTTTCAAAGCCTTAGTAATACCTATCTCTTTTACAAACTTTTCCTGTATTATTACAGACTTTTTATATTCAAAATAAGTTCCAAGGATTTCTTTCGTGGACTATGTACATAAGTGCAAAAAAGGTGTGTCTCACACATTCGTACACTAACTGAATCAGTTTAACTGCAGCATATTTGTATCTTCAACACTGTTACGGGGTCATTCCACAATATTTTTCTTATGTACAGGTTTTGCTAATATAAATTAGTATTAAAATATTCATATGTTTAATTATTTAGCCCTGATTTTAACATAATTGTGTGAGTATTCAATTTCAGGAAAAATAATAATTGCAGTCAGACTACAGTACTTAAACTGGTTACTTATGAATTCACACAATGATGATCAACATGAAATGAAATAAAGACCAGTTAATGTATTGTAAATGCTGGGTGTTACGTTTTAAAACCTAAAATACTGTGGAATAACCCTAGCCACACAACAATTTCTACAAGCTATAAAACCTGACTCTAAATCCATGTGTTGTAAACTTCTTGACTGAAAATGTGACCTAAAGACACAAATTCAGCTTTCACATGGGACTTTGGGATTTTAAAAATATTCAATCATATCTTTATCTGACAGTATCGAACTGTACCTTTAACAAGCTCATACTGTTACACATCACTTTTAATTTACATGTGAAAATTTCACAAATAATGTATACAAAGGTAGCCATGTTGTAGTTTTGTTGCCATAGCAACAACAACTTAATATAATTAGTTAACAATGAATCTATCATTGTAGGAGTTACATACAAAGTTAATTTTGTTCTTAAACTGTAAACTATACAAACTAGTTATGGACTATATTCTATACCTTATCATGCTTCAGTATTGGTTTAGAATATAACTAAATGGGTTGAATACATGTATTAAAAATCTTAAACTTTCTCTAATTCTCCTTCAAAATTAAATTCATTCGTTACTAAAGATATCAAAAAGCAATAATGAAAACCTTAAAAACTAACAGGAAAGAAATGAAAATATGTGACATGAATTAATGTGTTGATGCCTAGTAACTATGTGTTGTAGCTATATTTACATTTTGATTAGGCTATCAACTAATTTTTTTAAAGTTATTACAGTCATTAACATACAGTATATATTCTAAGGCCTTCAACAGGCACATGGTAAAATCAGGTCAATATCACACTAAATCCATTCAACAGGAATGGGAAATTAGATTTTCCTCATAAATTTCACCTTTTTCAATTTTCATGTATGTGAAATGTACAAGGGATAAAAAATGAGGACTCCAGTTTCTCAATCATTCTGTGCACTAGCATGTTCTATAGCCTATACTACTGCATTATGAAGGAATATGTGAGTTTATGAATACATTTGATCAGATACATGCATCTCATTATCTGGCCAGATGTATCTACAACAGTCACATATTCATATAAGTCGTTGTGTTTATTGTTTGTGCAGCTAGAGTATAACAAAGTCATTTTCATTGGACTCTAACCTGTGTTTTGTAGCTGACTGTATGTTGAGAGAACACCTTGCAGGAACGGAGACTGTTCCATAAGCCACCCAGGGAGCGCAAAGGTTTTGTTTTGCAGAGTGCAGCCAGCCAGCACCATCCATTTGAGACCACTCTGAGTGCAGTACGAGACGACACTTATGGCAGAGAGAAAAGTGCTTCAGAGTGCTCAGGAATGGAACGAAGCGGATGTGGCCAGAGAGGTAACGATTTCTCTAACATGGTGATGCAAAAATACAAAGACAAAAATCATCCACTAGAAATTTAAAAATAAAAAACACGGTTGATTGCAAAATCAGATTCCAATCACTAAAAACACTGAAGTTAACAAAAATAATTTTAATAGTTTTATGAATCTACTTTATTTTAAATCCCTCTTATTGTCTGCTTATGTTACAGTTTAGTAGCAGTATTTTTTTTATTGAAACTACTAACAACCTTTTTATGAAAATGATCATTCTCAGCTTTCATTTTCCCTCTGCATGACCCGTTTTATCCAAGTTTCAGCATTTCTTGCATATTGTTTGCATAAGGCTGAGAGAAATGGACAAAGAGAAATAACTTTGGATAAATAAAAAATATAGGTTCATGGAAAGTGGGAAGCTTATAAAAATGTCACTAAAATTATATTGATTTAAACAAACTTACATACATCTCTTGTCAAATAAAGGATGAAATCCATGCTTTTATGACATTTCTTTAGAGTCACGAACTAGCGCGGTGACTTTGTAATAGAATGCATCTATTTAGGAAATTTATAGTCTGGCGACTGGTTTTCTTTTTTGAACAAAGAAAATTAGAGCAAATCATTGCACAACTCGTTTAAATAGTGCTACCTCAAAATGGCATTTTTGCCGAGATTGTTTTGAATTTGGTGAAGTTTTAGTGCTTCAAGCTTTTCTTTCCTTAAACTCACTTAAAAGTGAACTCTAAATCTGCCAGCAATAGAAAAACTGTTGTGGCACCTAATATATCTACCCTGAACATCCCTCATTGGACCTCTTTACTAAAAAATAATCCTTAATTTTTTTTCAGTGCTTTAAATGTGACATGAAAACAGCTGTATTCTAGGTTTACATTCTATGCACATCTATGCCAGATGTTTAAGTAGTTAAATAAAATAGGAGGTTACATCAAAGTGTCAAGATATACAAAAATCCATTTAGCACTGAAAACGTTCCAACCTCCTTTAACTCATAAAGCCATATAAGCTTGAACACATCCTTTCTGGCTTACGAAGATCAGGTCTGTTCTTTGTTGAGGCACTGGCACAGGTTGTGCAAAACCCATTTTGATACACAAATAATTTCAACAGGAAGTACTCAAATCCACTTTTTCCACTAACAATGTTATGATTTTGGGAAACAGAAACTCAGTGGTTAAAAGAACAGGTATTCCATAGCCAATATATATTAAGAGTTGCTAGTTTCAGTATGTTTTGAATGCTGACAGCTGGGGAATGTGTAAGGACACAAGCAAGGGTTAATACGTGAGGCTGGCTAATAGATTACCATATTTTGTTCCTTAGGGCCTGATCCAAAGCCCACTGAAGTCAACAGGAAGATTCCCCTTGGTTCAGGCCCTATGTGAACTGACTATGGACTCTACATGGGTTCTTGTTTCTGAAGGAACCAAAACTAGATCATAAAGTGACGCTCCAGTTGTGTCTAGCAGGCACCCATAACTTGCACCTGTTATTGGTAATGTTAGCAAACATCTGTAAGTGCTCAGGTGAAGGGGCCAGGTGACGGGACAAGGACATTTACTACACAATGTGAGGAATCAAAAAGGAAATAAAAATGCGTGTGTCAGAAATCAGACAAGACGATCACTCAGCCAATGGGAGTTCAGGGTGGCACTCGTACTTGGGGTTGTAAGGACCCGATCCTTAGAGATGCCGAGGGCTTTCAACTCCATTGACCTCACTAGGCTCCGAGTGCTCAGTGCCCTTCCAGAAGGCGCTCCGCACATCAGAGGCCCAGGCCCTTAAACCACCACAGAACAAGCGGCCCAGACTGCCCACATTTTCCTGGCACAAAATGGAGGGCATCGCACCTTCCCTCGGGAAGGGCAGGGGAGGGGAAGGCTCTGGCCTCTAATGTTAGAAGTTAAAAAGTGAACCTATTAATTTTATCTCGAACGTGCGGTTGTTACAGCCGTAATATCACTGCCCCTCTGCTTTCCTCAGCAATCACCAGACTCCATTGTGTTTATAAGCAGCTCGGCCTTTGGACATACAGGGTTAGCCTCTCGGGAACTGGGTTCGTGCCTTTTACAGCAGAGGGGTAGGGATATTCTAGTGCTGCTTCAGCAGCAGCTCTCCAGCCAATACAGGAAAAACTAGCCACTCACAGGCCAGCCAGGGTGTTTGGAGCACCCCCTCTGCCAGTGCAGGACTGTTTATAGGGGACACGTCCTCAACCCACATTGATCTCGGTTCACAGTGCCAAACTACGTCACTTGGGAGGCTATTCCATGTGCTAACTGATCTCGCTTTCCAGTGTTTTTTCCTGATATTTTGTCCAAAGTCTCCTAATGCCCCCTTGCATATCCTTGAACAATTACTTGCTGTTGACACCCTTCAGTTATTCAGAGACTTATAGGCCAAATACATCTCTGGCATAACTCCACTGATGTCAGTGGACTTATGCTGGGGACGAACGTGGCAGCGGTATCCCTGCTTTAGCCAAGCCAAGATTTGTTTTCTGGTGAATGTAGTCAGCAGCTTGATAGAATGGCACTGTGTGCTGGGCAGGGCATGGGGGGGTTGGTCATCCTTCAGTTTACTCATCGCTCCTGATCAAACAAAAGATGCCAAAATGCATCCACTGATCCAAGGAGTTAAATCTCTGAAAACCATCTAGGCCTGGTAAACTCAAGGGTCGTTGTCTTTGTTGCTTGTTCTTTGTTTATTTGTTTTTGCTCTTGGGGAATGTCTCTGACTTAAAGGTGAAGTACATTACGGGGGTAGGCTGATGAAATGTCAGGGAATGCCCCCACCAAATTTCCCAATGAATTCTGCTGCGTACTTAGTGGAGACAAGGGCAACTGGGTGGCACCATCTTCCCTAGGCAGAGTGTGTGTGGGGGGGTATTTTCAAAATTTTAAATCAAAATTACCCATTCCAGGTCTACGTCTCTGGGTTTCAAGGGGACTACAGCTACGTTTCCTCGGGTGGGTGGGGGGGTATCCTTTACCCCTTTGAATCTGTCTCATCACTTACTCATCTATTTTGTGGGAGGTTTTTTTTAATGGCACCACTTAAATAGCAAGAAAAACGGTGTGCCATTTGGAGCTAAGAATGGCACTGCAATGGACAGCAAACCTGGAGTCATTCCTTGTTTTCTGACGCTTTCTGAATAAATCTCCCCCTTCAGCTGATATCTAACTTTTTACTGAGTATGTTTTTTGTTTATTACGTAGCAACGTTTCTCTTTTCAGGAAGCCAGACTCAACTCACTTTGTAAAACCCGTGAACTGGGCTAACAGGCCAGCTGTCCCTTCATAACACATAAATCTGAGACTCTCCTTGAAGGCAAATTCCAGATCTTAAAAGGAGCCATTTAAAACAAGCAATGTAAGCTGATGAAAACAACCACACTATAGAAAAGGACAGAACATTCTTGTGTCGTGTTTTTCAAGCACATAATTCCTGTTTCCCACTGTAACATTTTTAGTAAAAAAAACCAAAACCCAAACCCCAAAACAAAAATATCTCCCCCCCAACCCAGAAAACTACAGTATATGAAAACTTAAGACATAACAATAATGAAAAAAATGGTATTGAGTATACTTGATAATGATGTACACTTTAAAACAAATCCATAGACTATGATGTAAACAAAACAGTAAGATAACACTTTAAAAACAAGACAAACATTTATCCATCGATAGTATACAGTAAACCAACAGTCCACTGTGCAGATGCACTTATGATGGTAGTCATAAAATGATTAAGTGTGTTAAAGTAATGTGTTATAAAAGTCTATTATAATTGTCTACTTGTATATCTCATATAACAGAGCGCTGTTTGTTAATTGTTTCTATAGTGCTTTTTTTTTTTTTTTTTTTTTTTTTTTTTTTTTTTTTTTTTTTTTTTTGACATTCCCATTGATCAGTTTTTGGTTAACATTAGGCTGCAACAGGCTTACTGTAGAGGTGGTCGAGGAAGAAACGAGGGAGGAGGGAATATATACAGAAAGGCCATGTGCAGCTTCCCACCGAGAAGTCCTGGAACTCCGTAATTTTACTCTTCAGAATTTCAACATAGTCTGCTGGAGGGGGAGGGAGGGGGAAGAACAAACAGTGAGAAATGGGAAATCAAAAATCATGCTCATCTTGTTTTTACATTTTCTAACGGGATCTGTACACCCCCTTACTGCAGCACACAAGGACTTTCTGTCTGCGTGCTGGAGAGATGCAATGTTTTACTCACTTAATTTTCTGATTTAGGGTGAAATTGCTAACAACACACTTGGTAGCCTCCTTAATCTGTACTTAGAGCTTTCCATCCTAAGAGCGCATCGCAAAGGCTGACACTAATCTACAGAATACCCCTGTGAAATGGGAAGGCGGGGGAGTATTAGTCTGATTTCAGAGACGAGGAAGTGGGAGCAGAGAGCATAACAGCCTGGCTTGCAGAAGTGCTGGGCACCTGTACTTCCCATCGGCTTTAATGGGAACGGGAGAGGCTCAGCACCTCTGGAAGTCAGGCTACAAGTGACATAGAAGGAGTCAGGGTCAGAGACAAGAGCAGAACCCAGGAGCCCTGCACTCAGACCATACCTGATCTCCTTTATGTGCTTCTGGAATTCCCACCCTTAAAGTCGGGGGCACAACAGCTAATGTTGCAGCTGGGTTAGCCAGCTTTGACAATGTCTTTGCCTCTGGCTGGGGAAGCCTCTGGGGGTACTTCAGGTGTCTGGAGAACTGAGCTACCTTCAAATCCACTGCTATGTTGTTTACCCTCCTTCCATGGAGATGACACACCATGCAGGGCCCAGCTCTGGAGAATCATTTTGCAGCTTGGAAAATGCTGATTTAGACCCTGACCCAGCAAACCAGTCAAGCATGTGCCTCACTTCAAGTGCTTACATTTATGCACGTGCTTAAGAGCTTTGCTGGCTCGGCGCCTGCCTGCCTACGCCCCAGGTTACATCCCAGAAACCGAAAGCAGAGTTCATGGGGCAGTCCTTTATTCTGGGGACACACCTGAGGAAACAATCCTTGTTCACCGACCTCCAGGGCAGACTGCAAAGCCCATTTGCTTTCCCCAGCTGTGGGGGGACTGCAAGGACAAGCACGTAAATGCTTCGCTGAATAGGGATGGAATAAGAATGTGCATAAGTGCTTTCCAGGAGCGAGGCCTCTACCTGGGCGTGCAAGTGTGGTTAGGTGTCTCACTCTTTGTCCACACAGGCTATCGACGTGAGAAACTTCATAGAGTTTCAGAGGCTGCTTTTGAAATGAGGAACCTAAATGTTTCAAGTAGGAGACTTCCCATGTCCTGGGAATGTCACAGACTCGGTCACTGTTTGAACAGCAAGTACCTGGGCCCCCTATCATGAAAAAACTTGAATCATACGGTTTTCCCTCACCTCTTAGGAAACGGTTCTCAATTACTGATAGCGTAAGTCTAAGAACTCCAAAAAATGAGTCAAAAGGGGAAAAAAAAGTACACTGCAATAAAGGCTCAAAAGTATTGCAAAGAGATCAAGAATGAGCTCAGGTTTTCTCTTTCAAGCCAATAACCTGCTACTGGGCGGAACACACTACTTCGCACGTGTTCGAGAAATGATTTAACATGTAAGGTGTCAAGTCAGTCTGGTGTTTCTGAAAAGCGATGCACAACATAAAGCAGAAAATTGTCACTACCAAGGCTATCTTGGCATTCAGGCAGATGCTGGCAGGGATTACAGACATGATGAACACTCTCTCCACATACAGTATAGTTTACTTAACTTGGTAGAAATCAGGGACAGAACCATGTGTAATTATATCTGAAATAATTGACAACTGCCTTCCAAATCCATTTCCAGAGCTTAAATGCAAGTCGTTCCCTTTCATTTTTGTCCTGGGGAAAAGCTGGCCCACATATTTATGCAAATAAAATGGCTTCCATCATCACATTCAGTGAACACCCCTTTCTTTCCTTTAGTCTCTCAGTGGTAAAAACGCAGTGAAATCCCTATGTAAATAATAGCCTACCCATGCAAATAACAAGAAATTGAAAATAACACTGATCCCACTGTGAATTTATAGCAAACAAATCCAAAAAGGGGCAACATACTCTACTATTCTCACTCAGAGAGCAACAGCAGACTATGAACGCACCAGGCTTTGCAAGGTTGTGGAAGAAGGAGATTGTTTGCAGCCTTTGAGCCAATTATCATAGTGAACAAGAATCTCTGAAGGAAGAACACTAGGTGCCAGGTTCTCAGCTGATGTGAATCCATATAACAACAATGAAACTACTGAAGCTATGTCGATTGACACCAGCTATCTCAGGGGTGGGCAAACTACGGCCCGCGGGCCGGCCCCGGCCCCTCAGGGCTTTGGATCTGGCCTGTGGGATTGCCCCCCGTGGCGCCGTGGACCCTGCGCTGCTCTCGGAAGTGGCCGGCTCCATGTCCCTGCGGTCCCCAGGCGGGGGCGCAGAGGGCTCCGTGCGTTGCCCTTGCTTCCAGGCACCACCCCCAACAGCTCCCATTGGCCAGGAACGGGGAACTGCGGCCAATGGGAGCTTCGGGGGAGGTACCTGGAGGCGCAGCAAGGGCAGCGCACGTGGAGCCCTCCGCCCCCGCTCCCCCAGGGGCCGCAGTACTTCCTGGAGCGGCATGGGGCCAGAGCCTGAACCCCTCCTGCACCCCGCCCCCCAACTCCCTGCCCTAAGCCCCCTGCCTGCACCTCACACCCCTCCTGCACCCCAACCCCCTGCCCTGAACCCCGTGCCGCACCCCTTCCCTGAGCCCCCCATACACCCAGCACCCCTCCTGCACCCCAACCTCCTTCCCTGAGCCCCCTCGATCGCCCCACACCCCTGTGCACCCCAACCCCTGCCCTGAGCCCCTTCCTGCACACTGCACCCCCTCCCTCACCCCAACCCCTGCATACAATTTCCCCACCCAGATGTGGCTCTCCGCCCAAAAAGTTTGCCCACCCCTGACCTATCTGGTCCTAGTTCCTCAAGTTGAGTAAATCTGCTACTAAGTGCAAAACACAGCTTAGACTTTTTAGCTGACTCTCGCTGTCAAAATATTATTTATCCTCAGTAGCACGTGCTTCATAAGAATGAGTTACACTGTGAAATTTGCTAAGTAGTTTGGAACTGTCCAGTACATGAAACGGTCACATCAGGAGGGGTTCGGTACATTTTAAAGCAGACATTTTAGATGGTACAAAAACCGTTGTTTAGCATAAGCCCTGGACTCGGGTGTGGAATTCCTGTTGACTGCAAGTTCTGCATGCAGAGAACTGAAGGAGTAGGGTGAAGTGGCACTTTTAGAGGATTCAATACCCTTATATAAAAAAACCCAACTGTAAATATAACAGTTAAAAGAAACTTACTGTTCTATCGGTAACTTCTACATCTGTGAAACAAACATGCTGCTACTCAGTTCATCTACTGATAACTGGGATATCTACAGTAAAAAAGATGTCACATTAATACATTTTCTTGAGATCATTCTATCTATCCATTCATTCTTCAGTGCTCGTTTAAGACTAATCAATACATATAACCACTATTCAAGCAGTATCTTATAGAACATGAATTGATCCCAGCATTTATCTATTTTACCAGGCATAAATAACTACATAGTCATGTCATTATTAATGCCCAGTGGAGTACATGGTGATTGAACTTGGGAGTCCAACTCCATAGACTGTAAGACAGCAAAATGCCCTGTAAACTGCAGTTGGGAAGGTTTAGGTATCGCTTATAGAGAGCGCACATAGCCATTTACGAACACTGCATAGGAATTAGTGTTTTCTTCTTGTGGCTGTATAATTATTATTAGAACTAAAACTAGCAAAAAACAGAGAAACAAAATAGTTCTAGCTAGTGTAGACAGGCAAGCACTTGCAACAGGCCAATTCTGAGCTCAGTCCTTATTCAGGCAAAATTCCCATTACAGTCCCCAAGGCTTTGTGTCTGAGTGAAACCTGGTGAAGACCTACAGGATTTGCCCTCGGTAATTATCACGGTATCATAGCAGTAGCAGTGCCCTGTAGAATAAGGGGATACCTGCTTTTTCTTTGAGTGGCTCTGAACCGGAGCACGGTGATGAACTAAATAAAACTGCAAACATTATAATTAAAAAAAACCTACTGTTCCAAACTCTACCCTGGCCTAATCGGGAGATGTGGTGGTTTATTGAATGTAAAGAAGCATTCCTAAGATTTTGCGTATACAGTTCAGGACTGGTGCAGAAGCAGCCATCTCGGTTTAATACCTTCAGATCAATGTTTTGCAGATAATGACGGCTAGGCAAACATGCATGAAATCCTTTATATTAATGGCACTGGCAAAACAGTACATACAATACATACAATGTAAATACTGTAGGGATGGGTGACTACTTCTGCTTTAATACACTTGAACCTTTATCCATGTTGTTATTTTAGAACCCAAACTTGTTTTTTTTCACTTCCACTCCCGAGCCAGCCCAGAGCAGCCAAAATACCACAGGAGAGCCTGGTCAGTGTGGTATTTCTGGTAAGGACAGAAAGCAGGAGTGCTGTCAATCTGATGAGAAAGCCTCTTTTCTTTGTGAGTTTTACATGGCTCCTAAGGTCTGGAGAATGTGGGGACGCTTCAGAGAAGCTTCCAGGCTTATGGATGCTTCTCCAACAGACATTTGAACTCTGGCCCTTCCAAGGCTCGCCCATCCCTGGGCTATCACCACAGTTCCTTCAGAGCCACCCAGCCCAATGAGCCAGTGCCCCCTCACCAATCCCAAAAGTATACATACTGCCTTTCGAAGGGCCCGATCCTGTGCAGGGCAGAGCGCCTCGTCGGCGGTTCCGAACGCCCTCCGCCCCTCAAGGACACAAAGGGACTTAGAGGGGCTCAGTACCTCGCAGACGGTGCTCAGCACCTTCTAGGATCGGGCCCTCAGAGTCATCTACTTCTGAACATGTGAAAGAAAGCTATTTAAAGGGCCAAACCTGATTGGCTGTAGCTGTTGCAGCGAAGGGGACGCTGGTGGCAGGTGTTGTTGCTGCAGACACAGTGGTGGGCGTAGCACCGTGCATCATGGGCACTTTCAGTAGGGAACCATGGAAGCGACATACGGGAGGGTGGAGCATTTATGTAACCATGGCAACATGTGGTGGATTTGGGGGCGTGGCAGGTATCACAGCAACAAGCCATGTGACATCGTCATGAAGGATACACCGGAGCGCAGCATGCAATCACAGTGCAAAGCAAGACAGCGTTGGAAAAAAAATAAAAAAGAGAAAAGGGGAAAAGCCAATTACAATTATAATTAAGGAAAAAACTAAAACATTCTCAACACTTAGTACACTTATAAGCAGAACAATGATGTATTAGACTCCAAGGGCCAAATTTCCAAAGGAGGATGGGATGGGGTGTGCTAGCAAAACACTCATGTCACTGCGTGCATGTGGGTGGTCAGACACGCAGCGAATGCAAGTTCCTTTTGTGGGTGCATTTTGGCGAGTGCACCCGTCCCAGCCGGCTTTGAAAGTTTGCCCCCAATTATGAATTAAAAGGACATGGTGCACTTCACAGCAAATTTTCCAACAAGACCTTGTCATCATGGCACATATTACAGCTACGATCCCACTGGGTAACATGGCTAGCCGCTGCAACCTCCTTTTAAAGGTCTTCCCTCCCCGCTCTACAACAGGGCCCTCCCCCGGGGACAGAACAGAGCTGATGGCACTGCGAATGAGGGACTGGCCACCTGAGCGCTGTACGTACATAGTCACCATGTTTCTTTCTATACAATTCTAGAGGATTTGGCAAAATTCCCTCTTGGGGTGAGGAGGGAAAAAAATAATTCCAAATGTTTACAATCCACCTCAACAGAAACAGCCCCCTAAATGATAGAGCGACAGTAATTCTATAGACAACCATGACACACAGTAGAGATCTGTAATCTTTCTGTCAGACTCGGAAAGCTTTGCTTTTACATCACGCAGCAGTTAGAGGAAGGACTGCCAACACATGCGGATTGCATTCCAGTGGACAGCACTTTAGAGAGGAAGGGAGACGGCTGCTTCCTGAGGAACTGGTGGGGACTTTACGAGCTCCGACTGCCCTTGCAAACGTGTGCGATGAGCATGAAGATCTGCTCAACCCTGGCTTCTCATGCCAGAGCCCCATTAGCATCAGCGAGAGTTAGACAAGCACCTGATGGGGAGGAGAGACCCGTTCCAACTGGCCCTACGTTGGCTTGGGGATATTCAAGTGAGTTTAGTATACGTTTAAATCAGCAAAGGGGATTCCTGTTAAGAGCTTGCCGGCAGGCACTGATAATGGTGTGCACCAGTCGGTCCTGATCCCAGCCTCTGCTGTGGATTGCTAGCTGCCAGCAGCCCTCCTTACACAGATACAGACCATGGTTGTGTATGTGATTTTCTGTCAGACCCTAACAGTGTCACAGGCTCCCTGCATAGCCCTGGGGGAGATGCTGGAAGCGCTTTAGATCAGTCCTCTGCCCTAGCTGCAGTTATATAAACAGTCTTGGGGTCTAATGGTGCGGGTTAGGGATTGGGGGGGGTGCTCCACCCAGTGACTGGGGGGATGGGGAACGAGGAGGGCCCTTCACTTGGCAACTGGGGGACGGGGATCAGGGAGGGCCCGCATCCAGTGACTGGGGGGGGGGCGGGGTGGGTGGGACACGGGGAGGGTCCTGCACCCGGTGACTGGTGGATGGGGCAGGGCCCACACCTGGCATCGGGGTGGGGTGGGGGGTAAAGGACCCCGCACCCAGTGACTGGAAGTGTGCGTTAGGGCACGGGGGGGGGCACACTCCGAAGCTGGGCCTTTGATCACTCCCTGTAGCCTGTTGACTGGAAGAGCTGTGAACCAAGGAGAAGGTCCCATATGCTTTCTTCCCCAGCTGTCTGACAGGGACCCCATTAGCAGGCTCCCAACTTCATTCCCCAGAGCCAGGGCGAGTTACAGGGCCTGATGCTGCTCTCAGCGCAGCCTGAGTGGGCGGTAAGTGCACTGAAGTCAGTCACTCCTGAGAGAGAGGAGGATCGGGCCCAGCGCCCAGGAGATGGGCATTCCACCAGGCCTTTGTGCCGGGTGTGTGTCTGCGTTCTCCCTGCACCGCTCTCGCCTCAGCCTGGAACAGCACACGAAGCAGCAGAGCCCACCACATCCACGGGATCTGGTTGCCCAACTCTTCTGGAAGCTAGTCAATGCTGGAACCAGCGCCTGGCTCCACAGTCTGGTAACCTGCAGGCATACAGGGCTCTGAAAGTCACGGCCACCACAGAGTGTTATGGCCTATCGGGTAGGAAAGCAATAGCTCTTGACTCATTTCTGCTAATAGGCTTTCAGATCCCTCCCGCCCCTGCCGACCTGTGCTCCTGGGAGAGTCTGCGTTGGTTTTAGAACTACTCCACCCCCGCCAGTGGTATGGTCTGAGAGCACTGGACTGTTACTGGCCTAGCTCCATCCCAGAGCGAAGGCCGAAAGTCCGTCCTTAACCTACCTGCTACATCCAGCTACTGCAGATGGGAGGGTGAGTGAGGAGCCTCCTCTTACGGTTTGCACAACAATGTCTGATTCTTAGTATGAACCGGGCACAATTCCCCTGGGTATCTGGGTCACCACATTCTGAACCTGAACAACTGGGTTCCAGCATTGACAGCACGTCCTCCTTGGCATTTCCTTCTCGGGTGGGGGGGTTCAGTCACAGGGTCAGTGCTACCCTGACATGGATCTGGGGGTCTGCACAGCACACAGGCCATTTCCTCAGCAGCATATTTAAGAGGCAGATCTCCAGCTGGTGCAAAGCAGCACAGCTCCGCTGACTTACAGAGCCATGCAAGTTTACAGCAGCTGAGGGGCTGGGCCTAAGGGCATCTCTGATTAGAACAATATTATTTTTTCAAAAAACCAGTGTTACGTAAGCTTAAACATTCTCAGAGGCGTGACTCAAATCCAACCTACAAGGTGCTGGATGCCTGATAGTCAAACCACAAAAATCGTCCCATGGCCATTTCCTTTCACTGCATGGCCAAATTCAGGCCACAAAGATACTTGTGTGTAAAGCAGATCCTTTTGTTAGTCACATGAATTACCGCGTTGCACAGAAATTAAAGGGATACAACCATCTGAGCCATCAAGACGACCGGATAGTCAATCACACCACTCAGCCACCCACGTTCTCACGGACGCACAGTAACTCGCTGTCTCTTTCAGGTTAGGGAAAGTTGAGAAGTTTGTGTAGAGAAACCTACCAACGCTTGCAGTGGGTGTCATGCACAGTACTGACCCTGCACACCATGCAGTGAAGCGTGGAAAGATGAACAAAAGGGATATTTCATTAGTGAAGCGTTAGTGTTAGAAATAACTTTAACTCAAAGCAGGTGTTCTCTTTGCAGCATTCAGTATTAAAGCACATGCAAAAACAGATTCTGCATATTGATACATAGATATATTAAACTCCGTTTTAAGATCACAGCACACCAAAATCATTCCTGGATTCTTGGGTAGAGAACGTATTTCCCCTCCCCCTCTCGGAATTAAGTGATGAGTTGCACCATGAGAGTTGGGGACAGTCTGGATTATTTAATATCAAGCATGTCAGTTTCTTGGGGGGGGGGGGGGGGGGAATGGATATTTTAGCACGATTAACACATCACTTTGCAAATATACAAACTGATCATGTTAGAGGCAATAGTGTTTCACTTGCAAGAACTGAACCTTCTGAAGTCTTTGTCTGTTGTAAGATGGGCAAGCCAGCAGGACAGGCAAAGAGGTTACTCTGCAAGCAGGTGTTGTTGGTTTAAAGTCTCTATTAAGCTGAAAGAGGCAGTTTGTCTGGTCTTGACACAGCTCTAACAGTGGTGCTACTTCAGACCTATGCAGTGGCTTCCCTCGTGCAGCGCCCCAAACGATCAACTGTGCACCTGACCACTGTGTAACTGACACAGGAAAAACTAATGGAAGCAAACATTTCGCCCAGCCTCATGCTGGCAAGTCTGCCTGGCTGTCACCCTCCAACCCAGAGACTGGTTGTGTCTGAATGGAGCTGAGCGCATAAAAGCGGAGGCCAAATTGCAGGGCTGCAGTGATGATGGATGTTCATATGATGGGGTGAGAGGCTGCAGCCCTATGGAAAACCAACATATAGCGCAGCAGTGTGGGGTGGGAATATTTTGATGGCTAAGGTGGACTCTTCAGTTCTTTGGAGCATCAAAGAAATCTGCATTTACTGGATTTGCTTTAAAAAACCAAAACACACTTGTTCTCTGGTTGATGATTTGGTCTGGTCAGACCAATGCTAAAGCCTCCAGATACTAGCAGGTGCCAGGAAATAGCCCTACTGTGCATCAGGCGCATGTGTGACTCCATTCTCATTAATGGGAGTTGAGCCTGCATGGGTGAAAGGCATGATATGGCCATAAGAGTTAGCACAATAACAACAGCTTTTGCTGCAAGCGCCACTAATACACCTCGCTATGTAGATTGTGGTCACTGTGTCACTGAGACATGGAGCCAGGCTGAGTGATGCTAAGAAATTCTCAGTGCTGTCTGATAAGAGGCACCTCACGGACCAGACAAACCATATATCCCAGTGGAAGGAATGTGTCTTTTGGCATCTAAAGGAGTTGCTGTGAGGTCAGCCCAACACTGCAAATAGTACTTTGCAGAGTACGATTAGTGATGCTTTCTACTTGGTCTCGGTCTGTCAACATGAAAAGCTACTAAACTGGAAGAACAAGTCTTATCCATTCCTGAAATCTGATTATTTTGTATTTAATGTGTGAATATTCCATCTTCTCTTTACCAAAAGTTGTCAGCCTCTTTCCTTTATTAGCCAAAATCCAGAACATGCATGAAAAAGGGTTTAGGTTTCGGGAATCCAGGTTTGATCATCTAGCTTGACACCAGAAACTTCCTGTGGAAGGCAGATCTGGTCTCCTATTGCTCTCCCAAACTGGGCCATCTCTGGCTCTGAGGAGTTTTACCACCAACTTCATCTGGGACAGGCACAGGCCTACGATGCATTAATTTAAAAGGTGCTGTCAGAGGGGTGTTTTTGTGTATTTCTATAAATATCATTGGGCAGGTGAATGAGGCATTCAATGTTAAAAAAAAACTAGCCGCAAATTCTATGATGCTTTAGCAAGGAAAATAATATTAAAATCGAGAATGTTCCCAAATCAGCCGTGAATAATAATTTAACTGGCTAGTTGGCAGTCTTATACCCCCCTACCCCAGTCAATATCTTTATTTATATATGAATAACTGAACTGCATCTTTCCGTTTTATCTGAAGACTTTAAAGGCAGAATAAAAGCTTGGGAGTTAAACTGCTTTTAAAAAGCTTAGGTTAAAAAATTGGCAAGAGGGAAACATATGCCTTTAAGAAAGGATTTATGTAATTTACATGTATTAAAATGAGCCATTTCCTCTTTAAACATTGGGGCAGCTAGACTGTTTAGAGTCACTGAGCTGTAATCACAAAGACTGGGTGGATTAGATAGATACCTGCAGTTTTAAAACGGACGCGCTATTTTTCTAGAGAGGGATACAAAATACGTTAAAGTAACCGGATAGTGCTACCCAGGAGTCCAGGAAGCAGTTTGGGATTCACCAGCTGAACAATAAAGAAGAGCAACAAGAAGTATGAATTAGAGAAACATGTGGCCATTCGTCCTCGTTTGATTACAAAAAGAACGACCAAGAAGGTACCTTTAAAAGTATGAAGCTCTGAATTGTAGTAAGTGAAAGAAAAAGTCAAACAACAAACATTAACATTCTGTGGCTTTTGTAAAAGAAACACCACACACTTCTGTTTTGTCTACATTCTGCTAACGTCTGTTACAAATCCACTCATTAACTCAATCTTTAGGAGAACACTTCTTATATCAGAAAAAACAATGGAAAAAGTGACAAGAGAACTTACCTGTAGGGATAAATGTAGGCTGTTGCAACTGCATGTTAGCTAGAGCCTGTTGGTAGTGGAAAACGCTTGGGTTAAAGACTGTGGTGGCACCATTGTTTTTTTCAAGTGCTGGCCTCTTTGGTAAAGGTTGAAGTGCACCAGGCGGCAGGGCCTGTGGATGAGGGATTCGTTAAAGACAAGTAGCAAAAAAAGGGAAAACAAAATTAGACAAAGCATGCAATAAATATTATGGAGCCTGGCCTGCAAATCTCCTGCAACTGTATCAACTTAGCAAGACAAGAAACAGAAGAGCAGCTAATTACGGTAAAGTAGTAGGTAAAGTCACAGGTTTACTAGGTAAGCAGTTAGTAAAGACAAGAAGAAAGGGTCCAAAAATAAGAGCGCTAGGAATGCTAAGGAAGCTTTTCAATCGGACTGATTTCTGCACACAGAAAAAAGAAGGAAGTCATTTGGGCAGGACACAACAAAAAGCAGTTGCAGGCAACAAGTATTTTAAAGCTATCAACTAAGAGAAACATAGCAGACAGCAATTTTAAAATGAGAAGATTAGCCTAAGCAACAACGCAACAGAAAAAATGAGATGCTTGCCTCTGCTAATGTTGTTTGTTTAAATATCTGCCTGTGTGTGTGAGCATATTTACACGTAGATTATATTTGTATGAGGGTGGCAAAGTGGTAGCAGCTGCCAGTTATATGCCTGGGTTTCTACTCGTTACTAGAGATGATGAACAATACTTAATATTGGGCCTGATTCTCCTTTCACTTACAACAGCTTTACACCTCTAGCAATGAGCAGAGTTACTCCTGATTTACGGTAGTGTAAGTGACACCAGAATCAGCCCTTCACGTTTTTATGTTCTTTAGAATATAAATATTTCTTGCTGTCAGTTTATATGGAACATGTCAAGTGACAAGGCTGGGGTTTGTCTTCCTAAGCAGCAAATCTTCTCCTTTTGTTCGATCACATTACAGCACCTCCACTCAGTCAAACCTGTTTCATGATCAGACTTGGGAGAAAGCTTTAACCTAGCTCCAGGGATGAGTAAGTTACTCATCCTTCATAAAGTGTGTCTCAACAACACAGTTGTAAGTCAAGTTCTTAGGAAACAAGGAACATTGCTAACGATTTACAGCTGTTCATTGTAGCAAGGGAGAGAATTTCATTTCCCCCCCACATTGTGATAGGAAAGGCTGCCTTTCAGTTACTCCTACAATCCTTCTGCATGTAAGTTCCCCTTGACTTCATTGAGAATTCAGGCAAGTGAAAGCCATACAGGATCAGGTAGTCTCTGCCTGGCTGATGGAATGTAGCAAAGCGATGGCTGGCAAATAGGATTATCTATTTCAATCACTCCTATTTCCTCAAATGAATGCAAGTCAAGGTTCAGAAGCACAAAGAGCTTTAGCTAACAAGGGGTTAAGGCTACACCCAGAGCACTTGTCAGAAACCACACGAGGAAAGCAGCTGATAAATGGCATGAACAGAAATATACAGTAGACTCGATCCACTAAAACGTCCAACAGTTTGTCGCTGTACAGAAACAGGTTTCACTTAAGTTTTAAACGGCTATAGGAGACTGCGCATCTGAGAAATGTCAAACCAGTTACCTCCAGGCAAAATGTGACTTCCTTATGCCCGTGTTTCCAGGGTTATTTTTGTTATGTTTTTTGTTTTAGTGCAATCAATTTACCAGAAGCAATTCTGCTTGCAAAAACTGCTCTCAGATAAGCACACCACTCCCACTGAAGCCTGCGTGCATCCGAGGGCAGAATTTGGACGAGTATCTCTCTAGACTTAGCGGGTCAGTTTTAGAGACAGCAAGCGTAAGTGGGTTACAGTTTTCAAATGTGGGTACTGAAAGGTAAGCACTTAAATCCACATTTACAGGCCTATCAAAGAGGCCTCATTTACAGAGGTGCAGAGCCTGAAAATTTCATATTTCACTGATAATTATGGGATAAAGAGACTTCCTCCCTGAAGACTATATATATGGCCATCCTACATAATAGCACAAGTATGTATATGCTGTTCCTCCATTCTTGAGCCCAGCCCCTCAGCTGGTGTAAACAGAAGTAGCTCCACTTACTTGAAAGAAGCTATGCTGATTCACACCAACTGAAGATCTGGCCCAGGTAGGCTCAGATATGAATCATGCCCAAAAGGAAAACCTTCTTTTTCAGGTATTTCCCAAAAAACCCAGACAGGAGGTCACCAATTACAGTGAAGCAGCTTGCCATGTGCCCGGCAGAGAACCTTAGACTCACTGCCCTACTGAACAACAAGGGCACATGTGGTATCACACTGGAACTGCCCAGAGTTCAGATGTTAGAGGTGGCATCTGGGTGCCCGTCTCTGCTTCCATTTCAGAGCTGTCAGCCAGGCGATGGCCTTTGGGCTGTTCAGTCCCATGATAGCTCTCCCAGGGTGGTTGTCAGTTTGCTGGCAAGAGGCCCTGAAGACACTTCCCTGATGAGCCTGACTGTTGTATACACTACCAGGCAGGGCAGAGATTGGGAAAAGGTAGAGGATTTGGGTGGGATACGTCCTCCTGTCAGGATGTGTGTTGCTACTCCAGGCAGTCTACAAAGCTCCTGTGTTCTCTGTGCTGTTGAAGCCACTGGGCCCATGATTTGGCCTGATCCAGAGGGATCCTTTTACCCACCACTGGAATGCAGCCGCCTCTGGGGCGAAACACTATTTTAACAGCACAGAGCAACACACTAGTGTCACACAGATTCGTTTAGGGACAGAAGTAAAGAGCAATACCGTATCCAATTGAAAAGGCAGGGTGTGTGTGGATAGGCAGAGCTGGAATACGGCCAGGACATTGGGGCAAACAAGACAGTCTTGTGAGAAGTGGGACGAGATCTTTAATGGCCTCAAACGGTCAGGGCCTGGGGTTCAGCAGCTCATGGGGAGGGCACATTTCCCACACCACCATGCACTGATTCCAGAGGGAACAGCCCGCCCTGCTGAATCAGCCAAGGCACTCCCTGCAGCACCCACACTGGGCAGCAGGGGGCTCATGCGCCGCCTGTGGACGGTGAGCGGGACCTTGCTCAGGCAGGGATGTCAATTTTGTGTGATTTGTGCTCGGTGACTGGTCACCTAAACGACATGGGATAGTTTCTGCTCCCTGGCCCGATTGGCGCTGACCTGCATTTGCGTGCTAGTCATCCCTGTGTTCACGCGTGAATCCGGGTATGGCAAAGAGAGCCATTCCTCAAAGCAGCGTGAAAAGAACCCTTGATGTCTGAATGGCTGAGTGACAGCAGATAAAAACGGGATGCTGCCCACTGGCTGTATCCAAACGCGATTCAGAATTGGCCAACGTGTTGGTTAATAATTTCCCCTCTCACTTATGCTGTTCATGCAGGACGTTTACTAGCCCCTCAAAGTTTTACTTCCACAGTAATCTCCTTGGGGCAGGGATTGTGTTTTTGTTCAGTGTTTGCTCCTGGCCATGACTGGAGTTCTTCGTAATATGGTAACACAAATAATCACTAATAATTTCAAAGGGACTGAGGAGGGCACTCCATAAATACCAGAAGCACCCTGAGCACAACCTTTGTCAGATGATTTTTATACACTACCCTAGGAAATTAGTTTTTTGGTGCAGGATCCAACACCAAATGTTCCAAACTCCAGGCTGTTCTGAGGACAGCAGTGTGGCTGCAGGCAGCAAGCATTCAGATATTCCACGGTAGGAAGATTATTAAAGTTACATAAGCATTTTGGGCTAGAGGCCAGATCTGTAAAGATATTTAGGTGCCTGGAGATGGAGATAGGTGCCGAGTGGAATTCTCAAAAGCGCCTAGAGCCCAGATCCACAAAGGTGCCCTATCTGCATCCTATCCTTTAGGAACCCAAATACCTTTAAAAATCTGACCCTAGATCCTCCAGTCCAGTGGTTTTTAACCCGTGTAAGATTTCCAATGGGGGCCACACCTCCATTCAAAAGGTTTTAGGGGTCTGCAAATG